GATCCAGTTTTGCCAGCACCATTTGCTGATCATGCTGTCTTTCCTCCAGTGAATGTTCTTGGCCCCTTTGTGAAATATCAGATGGCTGAAATTGCAATTACTCATATTTGGGTCTTCAGTTTTGTTCCATTGAACTATGGGTCTATTTTTGTGCCAGTACCATGTTGTTTTTATGACTGTAGCTCTGTAATACAGCTTAAAGTCTGGTATTGTAATCCCCCTGGCATTGCTCTTAGTGCTGAGGTTACTTTGGCTATCCGAGGTCTTTTGTGCTTCCATATGAATCTTAGGATGTTTTTTTTTTTCCAATTCTGGGAAAAATGTCATGGGGATTTTGATTGGCATTGCATTGAATCTATAAATGGCTTTTGGTAGGATGGTCATTTTCACAATATTAATTCTTCTAATTCATGATCATGGGAGGTCCTTCCATCTTCTGATGTCTTCCTCAATCTCTCTTTAAAAATTTAAAATTTTCATCGTAGAGGTCTTTAATGTCTTTGGTCAGGTTTATTCAAACATATTCTGTTTCTTTCTTTTTTTTGCAGCTATTGTGAAGGGGAGTGTTTCCATGTGCTCTTTCTCTGATTGTTTATTATTGGTATATATAGAAAGGCTACAGACTTTTGTACTTTAATTTTGTAACCTGCCAATTTACTCAACATGTTAATAATTTCTAGTTTTCTGGTGGAATTTTTGGCATCTCCTAGATATAATATCATGTCATCTGCAAAAAGGGATAATTAGATCTCTTCTTTTCCAATTATTACCCCTTTCCTTATCTTATTGCTCTTGCAAGACTTTCAAGTACTATGTTAAAGAGAAGTGGAAATAGTGGGCAGCCTTGTCTGGTTCCTGATTTCAATGGGAATTCTTCCAGTTTTTCTCCATTTAGAATGATGCTGGCTATGGATTTGTTGTGTATCGTGTTACTTGTGTTGAGGTATGTTCCCTCCAGACCAGTTCTTTCTAGAACTTTTAACACAAATGCATGTTGGCTTTTGTCAAAGGCCTTTTCTCCCCCTATTGAGATGACCATGTGGTTTTTGTCTTTAAGTCCATTTATATGGTTTATTACATTTATTGATTTGCATATATTGAACAATCCCTGCATCTCTGGAATAAAGCCGACTTAATGGTGGTAGATGATCTTTTTGATGTGTCTTTGTAGGCACGTCTTCATCTCTTGTAAGATGTTATTTTACTAGAAGATATGTTCATTAAGGATATGGGTCTATAGTTTTCTTTTTTGGTTGTATCTTGGCTTTGGTATTAGAGTGACGCTGGCTTCATAGAAGGATTTTGGAAGTTCTCCCTCCATTTCTATCTTTTTGAATAAATTAAGTAGTATTGGATATAGATCTTAACACTACTGATGGGAGTGTAACCCAGTACAGCCACTTTGGAAAACAGTGTGAAAGTTTCTTAAAGACAAACAAACACTCTGCTTCTGTGGGCTGCATGGCCCACCAGCCTCTTTCCTGGATGCTGATGCTGTTTTCTTGGCCAGGCACCACCACTGCTTCTTGATCCTTTGCATCCAGAGGGACCCAGTTTCTTCTTGAGGTCCCTGGGAGCCCTCTGGACCTGGTCCCGCCCTCACCTCCCTCTGCTTCCCTGGGCTGCACAACCCGCCAGCCTGGTTCCTGGACATCAGGGCTGAGGGCTAGACTTCCTGATCCTTTGCATCCAGATCAACCCAACTCCTCTGTGCAGTTCCCAAGAGCCCTTGGGGTCTCTTCCCACCCCCATCTCCCTTTGCTTCTCTGGGTGGCACGGCCACCAGCTGCATGAGACCAGGCTGGCCTCATCTCACAGGGATCTGTCTGTCTCTGCCTTCTGAATTGCTGGGATTAAAGACGGACACTTCCATTCTGGGCTCACTTAATCTTCCTTTTTTTTTTTTTTTTGGTTTTTTTGAGACAGGGTCTCCCGGTAGCCCCAGCTATCCTGGAGCTCACTATGTAGACCAGGCTGGCCTTGAACTCATAGAGATCCGCCTGCCTCTGCCTCCCAAGTGCTGGGACTATAGGCGAGCGCCACCATGCCTGGCCACTTAATCTTCTTAATGTTTGTCCCTTTAGATGTTCTCATTCTGGTGGGGAAATACGACTGGAGACACCTTCTGCTAAGAAATTAACAGATATTGGAATTAGAAGAATCTTTTCTTCAGAGCATGACATTTTCCGGGAAAGCGTAAGAAAGTTTTTTCAAGAAGAAGTGGTTCCTTATCATTCAGAGTAAGTGGTTCACTTTCCTTTAATGTAATATAAGAACCTTTTCCTGGAATGCTGAATGATGTATGTATATAGAAAGTGCTTTTTACTGTTCTTCGCCATAATACTGTTAGGGTGTTATGATTCCTAAGTTACTTCACAGTTTTATAAATTATTTTATTATTACTAATTATTATTATGATTATTATCTATTATTTATTCTTTGGACTTTTTAAGACAGGGTCTCCCTGTAGTCCCAGCTGGCCAACTCACAGAGATCCACCTGCCTCTGCCTGCCAAGCACTGGGATTAAAGGCATGCGCTACCACGCCTGGCTGTAACTTTATTTTTTGAGACTTTGTAGCTCACTTTATTACCCAGGCCCCTCTCAAGTGCTTAAGCTCAAGCATTCTTCCTGCCTTAGCTCCCCAAGTGTCTGCAGCTACAGCTTATGCTACCACATTTGGCCCTTTTAAAATGTATCATTCAGTAGTGAAAAGCTTGGAAAATCTGCAACTTAGCTTAAGAATGGTATTTTTTAAAAGATATTTTATTTATTATTTTACTTCTATGTGTGTGAGTGCATTGCCTGCATGTATGTGAGTGCACCCATGTCATGCAGTGCCGCAGAGGTCAGAAGAGGGCTTCAGATTCCCCTGGAACTGGAGTTAAGGAAGGTTCATAGCTGCCATGTGGGTGCTGGGAATCAAACGCAGGTCCTCTGCAAGAGTAGTCAGTGCTTTTAACCGCTGAGCCATCTCTCAGAATGGTATTTTTTTAAAAACTGTGATTAGGGAGCTGGAGAGATGGCTCAGTAGTTAAGAGCACTGGCAGAGGATCTTGCAGAGGATCCAGGTTTGATTCCCAGCATCCACATGGCGGCTAACAACCATCTGTATATCTGGTTCCAGGGGTATCCAAAGTCATCTTCCAAACTCTGTGGACGTTGCCTGACCAGGGTGCATTTACATACATACAGGCAATACACTCATACACATAAAATAAAAATGAATTGAATGAATAAAAAAATTTTAAACTGTGATTAAATGACAAAAAATTATTGGTTCTTTTCTTGCGTTATGAATGAATTAAAATATATAAATGTTAAAAAGGCCAGTATAGTGCAAATCCTTGGTGGTGATACGCCACCTCTAAGTATTTTTACTACTTCTACTTAAAAAAAAAACAACTTTTTTTAGCCTGGCATAGTCTGGCATGCCTTTAATCCCAGCACTTTGGAGGCAGAAGCATGTGGATCTCTGAGTTTAAGGCCAGCCTGGTTTATATAGTGAGTTCAGACCAGCCGGGACTACAGGGAGACCCTGTCTCAAAAAGACCCCCCCCCCAAAATTTATTTATTTATTTATTTTATGTGCATGAGTGTTTTGCCTGCATGTATATAAGATCACCTGTGTCACACAATGCCTGCAAATGTCAGAAGAAGGCATTGGCTCCCCAGAACTTGGGTTATTGTTAGCCACCATGTATGTGGTGGGAACCGAACCTAGGTCCTCTGTAAGAGCAGCTAGTGCTCTTAACCACTGATATTTTTTGATTAATTTTACTTTATTGGGCAAAACATTCATTTGTATTAAAATGGGATTGTGCTATATGTTTAATATTCACTAGTTGTGTGTATTACATTGCAGATTTTTTTTGCTTTTTCTAAAATTTTATTTTTATTATTTTTTATTTTTTTATTTTATTTTATTTTTGTCTTTTTTGAGACAGGGTCTCCCTGTAGCCCCAGCTATCCTAGATTCGCTATGGAGACCTGGCCGGCCTTGTACTCACAGAGATCCGCCTGCTTCTCCCTCAGGAGTGCTGGGATTAAAGGCATGCGCCACCAGGTCTGGCACTTAAAATTCTTTTAAAGTACATTTTTAGTGTTTCCAACTCTCTGTTTCCTTGTCACAATGTTCTCATTTTTAAAGAAGAGGAGCTGGGTCTCAAGAGTAGAGGGTGCTTGAGGCCCTGCTGTGTTTGAAGTTCAGGGCTCCATTTCCAGAATGAGTTGGGTTGGAGGGGAAGGATCTAGCTGCAAGAAGATTCTTGTTTCCTGTTGTTTTGATCAAAATGATAGAAATGTAATGAACTTGCTTGCTCTTGTCAGGTTTGAGGCTCTTTCTGAAAGTCCAGCATTTTGAGGAAATAAGTAGAAACATTTTACAAGTCGGGTTAGTGAAATTCCCATGACTATATGACAAAACTAATCTTGTACCCTAACAGCACCAACTCCTGTAACGTCTACCCATGAACATGAGCAGGTATAAACTTTAGTTCCAGTAACTAGACTGGACAGGCACAAGATGGCAAAGGCGAGAAAGAAAAGGGAGATATGACAGAGTCAGACATAGATTGAGAGGTGTGTGGCCACTGTCACCAGGTGCCTTAAATCAAGGCTGCATTTCGGCACAAAATTGTAAGTTCTTAGTGTGACCACTTAAATCATTTTCAAGAGCTTGTCTGACTTTGAAATGCTTGTTCTTTGCAGATGGGAGAAAGCTGGCGAAGTGAGTAGAGAGCTCTGGGAAAAAGCTGGCAAGCAAGGCCTGCTGGGGGTCAATATTGCTGAGAAGCATGGTGGGATTGGTGGAGACTTGTTCTCAACAGCAGTCACTTGGGAAGAGCAGTAAGTATGCAGACCTTTGAGGTTGAGTCCTGTTTTGTAAGTTCATCTTTCTGAACTGATAATAAAACTATTCTTGGAAAATTCAGTATAAAATCTAAAAGATCATACCACTTGTGTGTGTAGTTTTGGATGTGGGAAGATAATTCTTTTTTGGTGTTACTTTTATGGTTTAATCAGCACATAATGTGTCAGATTCCATTATGACATTCAAGCAAACTGTTTTTGTGATTCTCCTTCCTCCTCATCTTCCTCTCCTTGCTACTATGTTCCCCACTGCCCCCCCCCCACTCTTTCCTCTTTCATGACCCATGTGTACCTTGGCCACTCCCCATCTTTCCTCATCACCTGATATTATTATTTATTGGTCTCCAGTCTAGATTTTTAGACTTTACCCATACTTATACCTGTTTACATATATACATGCATACATTATAGGTTATGGTCCACATATGAGGGAGCACATGTGGTTTTCTCTTTCATAATTTGAGTCACCTTACTTCATATTATACTTTCCAGATCCATCCATTTTCCTGCAAATTTCAAGATTTCAAATTTTCTTCACAGCTAAGTAATATCCCATTGTGTGTATGTTACCACATTTTCTTTTTAAAAAAATATTTTATTTATTGTTTTTATTTTATGTGTATGAGTGTATTTCCTGTATGTGTGTAAGTGCACCCGTGTTGCGCAATATCGCAGAGGCCAGAAGAGGACATCGTATTCCCCTGGAACTGGAGTTGAGAGTGGTTCTTAGCCGCCATGTGGGTGTTGGGAATTGAACCCAGGTCTTTTGCAAGAACAACCAGTGTTCTTAACTGATGAGCCATCTCTCCAGCCCCATGTTTCCACATTTTCATTATCCATTCATCTGTTAAAGGACATCTAGCCTGACTCCATTTCCTTGTAATCATGAATATAGCAGCAGTAAACATGGATGTACAAGTGTCTCTATGGTAGAATATGGAGGCTTTGGAGTGTTATAGCTGGGTTATATGAAAGATATATTTCCACTTTTTGAGGTACCTATGCGCTCATTTCCATATGGCTGTATTAATGTTCGGTTCCACCAGCACTGAGTAAGGGTTCCTCTTTCCTCTATCACCTCCAACGTTTGTTGTCAGATTTCTTTTTTCTTTTTTCTTTTTGGGATACATTCTCACTATGTAACCCTGGCTGGCTTGGGACTGGCTGTGCAGATCAGGGGTTTGAACTTACAGAGATCCTTCTGCCTGGCTTCCTGAGTGCTAGAATTCAAAGTATACGCCACCACACCCACCCAGCCTGTTGTCAGGTTTCTTGATGACAGTTTTTCTTATTGGGATATTGTTGAAATAGATGGTATATAAAGTCAAAGAGGCCAGGTGTTGAGGGTGCATGCCTTAATCCTAGCACTCGGGTGGCAGAAGCTGGAGAATTGCTGAGAGTTCAATGTCAGCCTGGTCTGCATACTAAGCTCCAGGCCAGGCATAGCTACTTAGCAATACCCTATCTCAAAAAATGTGGTAAAGATAACTTCATTTTTCATTTCTGGTCATTTTCCCCCTTTTCAATAAGAGAACATTGGAATGGAAATATACTTCCATGGAAAGATATATTATAAAAACAAAGATTTCAGCTAAAATGGCAGAAGGTTTTGAAGCAATAGTTCATCAAAAATGAAATGCAGTTAGGCATTAGGTTTTCTTTTTTGGGGTCTTTTTGAGGGGTCTCCCTGTATCCACAGCAGGTCTAGAACTCACCCTGTAGATCAGGTTTGCCTCAGTCTCAGAGAATGAACAAGTAAATTATGGGACATAAATAATGTGGAATTTTTGCATCTATTTAAGAATGTAATTTTTTATGTTTAAGAAACTACAAGGAGCCAGAGAAATCACTCAGCAGTTAAGAGCACTGGTTGCTCTTGCAGAGGACCCAGGTTGATTCCCAGCACCCACATGGTGGCTAATAACCATCTATAACTCTAGTTCCAGGGGATCCGACGCCCTCTTCTGACATCTGTGGGCATTGTACAACATGGGTATACTTACACACATGCAGGCAATACACTCATACACATAAAATAAAAGTAATAAATAAAACATTAGAAAAAAACCCAAACAAAAAACTGCAGAGCTGGACATGGTGATACACACCTTTAATTACAGCACTCTGGAGGTAGAGGCAGGCGGATCTCTGTGAGATGAAAGCCAGCCTTGTCTCTATAGTGAGTTCCAGACCACCTGGGGCTGCAGGCAGATCCTGTTTCAAAAAAACAAAAAAACCACTATGAATTCCCCAAGCCTAAGTGGCACATTTAGGATGCACCTTCTAAACCTAAGACTCACAGAACTTAGAACAAGGAATGAAGAGAACACTAATGCATCTTTAATTCTCATCAATGAAGCTCCCTCATGCAACAGAGGACCAGGTACACAAAAGGCCGCAAATGGCCAAAACATGGAGAATAAGAGTAGGCAGATTGTGGTCCTTGGACAGGTCTCCTATATTGTGATCTACCCTCCCAGGGTTCAGGAACCATTGGAGAAGAGGGTGGGGTGGAAAAATTGTAAGAGCCAGGGAGGAGGTGCATGAACATTTGGAAATAGTCTTAGAGGTGCCTGGGACCCTTCTTCATACAAACCTACAGCAATGGTGGCAGCAGGCATAAGACCCATGCAAACTTAGGCAGTCAGAAACCTAGCTCAGAACTGTGGAAATGAACAGCAAGCCCCAATCTTAGTTGAAGAATTATTGGCAGCTGATTACTGCTGAGTGAAGAAAAGCTGATCTTCTTGAAGGGAGAGACTCTAGATAGGTTGGCTAAACTCCAGTGAATGAACTTGTACTGAGGGACATCTTGTAACACTAACTTTACATAATAGGCCTTTATACAAATGACATAATGTATGAACTTCAGTGGGGGGGCTATAAGAGGATGCCAAAGGGGGAAGGGTATAAAGATGATTTTATGATTGAAATACACAAAAATTCAATTAAAAAAAATTTTTTAATCAGCAGGAAAACCCTACAAAAATAGGATTTTGTTATGTCATAATTTAAATATTTTATTTTTATTTTATGTGTATGAGTATATTGCCTACATGTATGTAAGTGCAGCCATGTTGTGCCATGCCCATGGAGTTCAGAAGAAGGTGTTTGATCCCCTGGAACTGGAGTTATGGAGGATTCTTAGCCTCCATGTGAATGCTGGTAACCGAACCCAGGTCCTCTGTAAGAACAGCCAGTACTTTTAACTCCTGAGCCATCTCTCCAGACTCATGTCATAATTTAATTTAAGAAGAAAAGAATAAAGTACAAAATTCATAAAGTGACGGCAGTTACATTGCAATATATCCAAAGGTTGTTTGCCAAAATAAAAATAGTTGCTCTGTTAGAGAAGTACAATTATAGGTGGTCAGTATTTTATTTTGTAATTCATTAAATAAATGCTTATTAAGCTGCTAAAGCACTGTTATTATTATGTTAGAGCCAGCAATTATAGGTTAGTAAAAAGAGAAAACATTCAGGAAGGTCATGGATGTATGAGAAGGCAGGCTATTCCCACACATCGTACAATGAGATCCTTAATACATTATTGTTGCTTTAGCTATTTTAATTGAAAACTAAAACTGAAAACAACATAATAACTTTGTGCTTTTCTTTTCCTTCTAAGAGCATACACAAATTGCACAGGACCTGGTTTCAGTCTTCATTCCGATATTGTCATGCCCTATATTGCAAATTATGGTACAAAGGAACAGATAGACTACTTCATTCCCCAAATGACTGCAGGCAAGTGGATTGGTGCCATAGCAATGACGGAGCCTGGGGCTGGAAGGTAAGTCAGCCTTCAGTTGGTTTTGAATTCTTGGAAGCAGTTCCTAACAAAACCATTTCTTCATTTTATGGATTTATATGACTCAAGATTAAAAAAATACTGAAAAACACCAGGTGTGACGGTGCACACTTTTAATCCCAGCACTGGGAGGCAGAGGCAACCAGATCTCTGTGAGTTTGAGGCCAGCCTGGTCTACAGAGTTCCAGACCAACTGGGGCTACAGGGAGACCCTATCTCAAAAAGACCAAAAAAAAAAAAAGAAATTGGAAAAAAATATTTCATCCATACTGAACATGTACACATTCTTTCTGTCACTGTTCCTTTAAAAGTATAGTATAGCAACTATTTACATAGCATTTAAACTCCAGTAGGAAAGCAAGAAATTTTTTTTTGGTCTTTTTTTTGAGACAGGGTCTCCCTGTAGCACCAGCTGTCCTGGAACTCACTATGTAGACCAGGCTGGCCTCAGACTCACAAAGATCCGCTTGCCTCTGCTTCCCAAGTGCTGATTTTTATATATAAATAATGGTAAAGCAGTTGCAATGTATGGTGGTATACAAACACAATGGTAGGGTATGAATCTTCAGCATGATGAATTTTATTTTTTTATCTTTTTTTTGGGGGGGGGTCTTTTTGAGACAGGGTCTCTCTGTAGTCCCAGCTGACCTGGAACTTGCTATGTAGACCAGGCTGGCCTTAAAGACATCTACCTGCCTCTGCCTCCCAAGTGCTGGACTTAAAGGTATGCGCCACTGCACCTGGCTAGCAAGATGAATTTTAAAAGTGGGATGGGCTTCATATGGAAGCATTGAAAACACTGTTAAAAATATGTATTTGGAACTCTGGAGATAGACTGGTGAGGCAGCATTATAAGAATACACAAATAGGAGAAACATTAAACTGGGTATGATGGTACATACCTCTAATCTCAGCACTAGGGAGGCAGACGCAAGAAGATCTCTGTGAGATAGAGGCCAGCCTGGTCTGCAAAATGAGTTCCATCCATGCCAGCTGGGGCTACAGGGAGACCTTGGTGGGGAGGAAGAGACACAGAGAGAGACAGAGACAGAGAACATTGTGAATAAAGAATGTCCAAATGGTAAATTACGGTGAGAAATAAGGATAGATGCATGAGAGGGAAAGAATAGAGAACATGTCTTCTGTCAGAGATGGATTGGCCACTGTGTTCTCATTTAGCTTTGGCCTCTACAGAATGGTTGCCATTGCTGGGCCAGTGAGATGGCTAAGTGGGTAAAGGTGCTTGCTTTGAAAGCCTGGTGATCTGAGTTTGATCCTTGGAATCTATCGGTGGAAAGGGAGAACCAACTCTGAATAACTATGTTTTCTGACCTCCACATACATGTGCTGTAGCATGCACATTTATGCATACCTCAATAACAGTAATTATATATATATATATTTGGTCTTTTTGAGACAGGGTCTCCCTGTAGCCCCAGCTGTCCTAGAACTCACTATGTAGACCAGGCTGGCTTTGAACTCACAGAGATCCGCCTGCCTCTGCCTCCTTAGTGCTGGGATTAAAGGCGTGTGCCACCATGCCCGGCAGTAATAATATTTTAAAAACATTTTATTTATTTTTATTTTATGTGTATGAGTATATTGCCTGCATGTGTGTAAGTGCACCTGTGTCATGTGAGGAGGTCAGAAGAGAGCATTGGATCCCCCTGGAACTGGAGGTGCGGATGGTTGTTAGTTACCATGTAGGTGCTGGGAATCGAATCTGTGTCCTCTGCAAGAGCAGCCAGTGCTCTTAACTGCTGAGTCATCTCTCCAGCCCCCCAGAAAGTAGTTTTTTATGTAGTACTTTTATTGTTTCTTTGAGAATTTTATACATGGATACAGTGTAGAAGGAGATTTTTTTAAAGGCCATGGAATAAAAAATACAAAAGTATAGTAAAACAAAAATTAATAAATTGAAAAATAAATTTTCTCCCTTGAATACTTTTTAAAAATATTTTTATTAGTAATATTTGTTGATAGCTAGAAAAATATGCTCCTTTTAGAACATATTTGTTAGGAGAAAGGCAGTTTAGAAATATTCTTGTAGTGCCTATAGTTTTGATGAAGAGATAGTAGAAGGAACCAGTGTAAATAAAGGCAGGTGAGTGCATGGTGACACATAATTTTGGGGATTATAGCAAGCCTTGACATGTCAGCAGAGTCTAGTTTGGGGTTCTTGAATGTAGTTGGGTGTCTGAATTCTGTAGTCTGTCTAGTTCATCTATTTTTTTTTTCATCTAATCTTTTTAAAAATATTTTTATTTATTTATTTATTTTTTGTCTTTTTGAGACAGGGTCTCCCTGTAGCCCCAGCTGTCCTGGAACTCACTATGTAGACCAGGCTGGCCTTGAACTCACAGAGATCCATATGTGTATGAGTGTATTGCTTGCATGTATGTAAGTACACCTGTATCATGCAGTGACAACGGAGGTCAGAAGAGGGTGTTGGATTCCCTTGGAACTGGAATTATGGACAGTTGTTAGTCTCCATGTGGGTGCTGGGAATTGAACCTGGGTCTTCTGCAAGAGCAGCCAGTGTTCTTAACCACTTAGCCATCTCACTAGCCCAAGTTTATCTAATCTTTATATATTCATTTATGTAAGATCTTATAATATATTAGATGTAGCTTTTAGTGCAGTTGTGTAAATATTACTAATACTGGGAATTTTGTTTGTTTGGTCTTTTGAGATAGGGTCTCATTGTGTAGCACTGTCTAGCCTAAAACTCACTATGTAGACCAGGTTGGCCTTACAGAGATCTGTCTGCCTCTGCGTGTTGGGATTAAAGGTATATATCACCACACCTGTACTAAGGATTTTTAATGCATGTGAATATATATATACCTTTTGTATAATTTGATTTATGCCAATTGATGCCTCTTTGTTTTCCATTACAGTGACTTACAAGGAGTAAGAACAAATGCCAAGAAGTCTGGGAGTGATTGGATTCTCAATGGAAGCAAGGTATGTAAAGAGGAGCTTCTCTGCAGAAGCAGGCTGTGGGTACCAGTGTCTCAAAACTATACATTATTGATAATAACCAATCTAAGAACTTACACAGGAGTTGTTTATTTAAGTGTTTTGGAGATAGTGAGAATTTCATAGCATTTATATGACGGAATCTATGGCTAGCCTCTTCCCTCTTACATGTTCCCTGCTGTGTGCAAATATTTCCTCCTCACAAATATTGCAAATGTGGTTTTAGCTTCCAAATTTCCTTGCCAAGCCAGAAAGGAAAAGATAAGTTTTTTGTTGCCTAAATTTGGGGCAAACAGTGGTTGAGCTTTATATTATGTTGGTGAAAGACTGGGTGAAGGCTGGAGAGGTGGCGTACTTGTTGAAAGTGCTTGCCACACAGGCATGAGCACTGGAGTTGATTACAGCATCCACATAAGCAGGTGGGTCTGGTTCTGTGAACATCTTTAATCCCAGTACTGAAGGAAGCAGAGACAGGAAGATCACAGGGCTTGGTGGCCACTAGCCTACCTGAAAAATGTGAGCCCCAGGTTCTGGAAGCAACATCTTGCCTTAAAGGAGCCCCCTCTTTTGGTGTATATGTGAGCACAGGTGGGCATCCACACACATATGTGCATAACCTCACGCAGATACATACATATGCACAGAATAAATAACTTTTTTTTTTTTTTGGTCTTTTTGAGGCAGGAACTCACTATGTAAACCAGGCTGGCCTTGAACTCACAGAGATCCTCCTGCCTCTGCCTCCCGAGTGCTGGTATTAAAGGCATGTGCCACCACACCCGGCATATAAATAACATTTTTAAAAAGATTGGATGAAAAGCTTTCTAATAAATGTCAAAAAGTTTCAGAAGTAGGTTGGAGAGATGACTTAGCAGTTAAGAGTGCATACTGCCCTTCCAGAGGACCTGAGTTCAGTGCCCAGGAACCACATGATGACTAACTCCAATTCCAGGGAGTCTGACACCCACTTCTGACCTCCAGGGGCATTGTATGACATGGGTACATTTACTTTTTAAAAATTTTTATTTGTTTTATTTATTTTTATTTATGAGTATATCGCCTACATGCAGTACCTGACACCTGGGTACATTTATATACATGCAGGCAAAACACTCATCTACATAAAATAAAAATAAACAAATAAGAACTAAAAAAAATGTTTCAAAAGATTGAAAATACCAGGTAGTAGAATTCAGGAATCTTTCAGTCTTTCTGAGAATCACCCTTCTGAAAGACTTGGAGAACCCTTCAAACAGAGCTCCAAGTGGTTCAAGAGCAAACACATCCCTGAGAATAAAACCATGAGAGAAAGGATGAGATCATCAGTAAATACTTTTTCTTGACTAAATGTTAAGTGAAGGAAAGATGTTCATGTTCAATACTGTTCTAAGGGAGTCTTTTTGAAACATTTCAAAATCTGTTGAAGGAAGAAATTTGTTTGGTTGATGTTTTTGTCTTGGTGCTATGACTTGAGCCTAGGGTTTCTCACATGCTAAGTATTACCACATTCTTTGGTTTTTGTTTATTTTTGTGTTGTTTTCCTTTATATTTTCAAAATCAGTGTTGTGGCACTCATTGTCCAGTTCCTAAAAATCAAATTTTCTAACTTGTGTTGTCAGAGGCTGGTAATAGTTTGTGCTCTGGCATCAGTAATTCCTATACAGAAAAATAGTATCTGGGGACTGGAGAAGATGGTTCAGGGGTTAAGAGCACTGGCTGCTCTTGCAGAGGACCTGGGTTCGATTCTCAGTACCCACATGATGGCTAACAACCATCAGTAACTCCAGTAATCCTGGGAAAACCTGCACTTTCTTCTCGCCTCTGTGGGCACTGCACAACATGGTGCCCTTAGATGCATGCAGGCAATACATTCATACACATAAAAAATAATACATAAAATATTAAAAAAAATAGTATCTGTGACATCAAATAGCTTACATCTTAGAAAATTTTCTTTATTTATAGACTATCACAAATCACTGACAGTCAAATATAGTTTAAGAAACAGTAATCTAGGGACTGGATATACCTCAGTGGTAGAGGACCTGCCTAGTACATGCAGGGCCCTAGTTCTGATTCCTAATACTGTGTAAAGCTGAACAAAACAGTTCATTTATGTCTGGCAGAATGAGAACTTGATGGTGCAGTGGCGATAGCTCAGCCTAGGGGACTGAGAAGAATTTTTAGAAGACATGATGCCTGAACTATTCTGAGTGTAATTAGGATTCACTCTGTTGGAGTTGGGAAAGGGCCTGTGGTAGAAGAAACAGGAGTTTCAAAGACACATAGGTCTGGAAGGCCTTGGATCATGGGGGACAAGTGATTCAGTGGATGAGAGAAGAGGCAGGAGATGTAAGCTGGTACCTGATGGTAAGGAGTTTTATATGCCTGTGATAAGGGTTTAGAATTTATCCTGAAGCCTATTAGCTGTTCAGAGACCTTTGAGTGTAAAGGCAGTGTAATCAACCATTAGAATGGTCTCTCTTGATAGCAGGGTAGATGATAGAGCTGCTGTGACAGCATTATGGAATCATGTACCAGAACTGATGAGTCCTAGACAAGAGGAAATGACAGTAGAAAGAAATGAATAGTAGACCTAAAAAGTATAAAAATGGATTAGAAAGAATCAGTGGTGGAATTGAATGTGAAGGAGGGTTTCAGTGTGATTGATTGCAGCATTGCCATAGGGAAATAGGTCATACCCAGGATGGGATAGAGTGGAGGTGGGAGGGATACCCTCTGCTCCTGAGTCACCTGGTGGAATCCAGGTGGTCCTACATTCCTGTAATCCCTGTATTCCCAGGCTGAGGTGGAAGGATTGTGAGTTTCAGGCCAGCCTGGGCTACATAACAAGTTCGTACTTGTCTCACAAAACTAAAGAAAGTAAGTAAGTAAGAAAGAAAGAAAGAAAGAAAGAAAGAAAGAAAGAAAGAGTCATCCTTGGCTACATAGACAGTTTAAAGCCAGCCTGGATACATGTAACCCTGTTTCAAAAAATAAAGGAAGGAAGAAAGGAAGGAAGGAAGGAAGGAAAGGAAGGGAAAGAAAGAAAGGAGGAAGGAAGGAAGGAAAGAAAGAAAAGAAAGAAGGAAAGAAAGAAAAAGAAAGAAAGAAAAGAGGAAGGAAGGAAGGAAGGGAGGAAGAAAAGCAGGCGTGGGGGGAGACATAGCTACAGATTTGGAGTCATCAGTGTGTAGATGATAACTTAAGCCATGAAAGGGTACAACAACCCAGGAAAGGTGCAGAATGAGGCACCAGTTATTGTTTGCTCTGGATGTATTTTGTTTTCTGAGTCAGCATCATCAGCTAATGTCCCTGTTTAGTTTGTTCTCCCCCTCAACTGTAACACTTTCCTTATTTAGGCCATTTTATTTATTTATTTTTATTTTTTTAACATTTTATTTATTTCCATTTTATGTGTTTGAATGAGTGTATTGCCTGCATGTGTGTGAGTGCACCCATATCATGCAATGCCAGCAGAGGACAGAGGAGAGCATTAGATTCCCCTGGAACTGGAGTTATGGATGGTTGTTTGCTGCCATGTGGGTGCTGGGAATCAAACTTGGGTCCTCTGCAAGAGCAACCAGTGTTCTTAACCACTGTGCCATCTCTCCAGCCCTATCTCTCCAGCCCCATGTTCTCCATCCGGGGGCTAGAGAGATGGCTCAGTGGTTAACAACACTGTTCTTGCAGAAGAGGAGGGTTCGAATCCCAGCACCCATATGGGAGCTAGCAACTATCCATAACTCCAGTCCTGGGGGATCCGACAGCCTCTTCTGACCTCTGCGGGCATTGCACAACACAGGTGCACTTACCTGCATGCAGGCAATACACGCATACACATAAAAATAATAAATAAAATTTAAAAGAAAGAAATAGTCCATCTATTAAACAAAACAAAACAAAACAAAACTGTTTCCTTTAAAAAACTGATAAACCTAAGCCTACAATGCCATTTAGAGAAGGTTCCCTTTTCTTCTCTGTAACTCCCTCTGAAATTCAGTTCATCATCTGAATATGCTATCTTGTTTTATTTTAAAGACATAATTGTTAGTTTCTATTAGTATTTATAAAATTAATAGTGAGAAAATGTATAAACTTCCTTTTTGAATCACTAGTGATTTGTCCCCTGCTCTTGAATAACCTCATTTTGAAGAGTCAACCCTGCACGTGCCTGGGTCCCCTGTAGGGAGAGGTGGGGAGTGTGTCCTGCCTGCTCTAGTCCTTGTTCATGAGTTTCCCCCAGCCCTGACTTGCACGTGGGCCTGACTATTGCAGAGCATTATAGTATTTTTGGTATTTTGCAGGTATTCATCACTAATGGGTGGTTAAGTGATGTTGTGATTGTAGTTGCCGTCACAAATCGTGAAGCTCGCTCCCCTGCCCATGGCATAAGCCTTTTTCTGGTGGAAAATGGAATGAAAGGATTTATCAAGGGACGGAAGCTACATAAAATGGGATTGAAGGCCCAGGTAGGTAATAATGTGTCATGTTCTGTTAACAGACTGAGCAATCAGAAAGTTGACGAACAAAATTACCTGTGGTACCTTCCTTGGCTGAATTGCCAGAGTATGTGTTTAAGAGATGGCAGAGGAGATTTCTTTTCAGAAATGTCACTGTATCTCTGCCTGGAGCTCAGTCATGGAAAGGAATCAGGGTATTCTCAATATGTGCTTTTGAAAGGGGAAAGTTAACTGCATGGTAATAAGCAATCTGTGAAGTTGAGAGAGAAAATGATGAAGTAAGAACAGAAAGTATTTTTTATATACAATACTAGAAAACATTTTGCTTAATATGTGTTAGGAATTCTTCCTAGTGCCTAGAGAGTGACTATTGTGGTGAGGAAACTACACCTTATGGAATCACATGGAATTGGATTTAAATCCCTGGTTTATCACTTACTATTTGTTCTTTATTTTTTCTTCAATAGAAATAGTAAATCACCTTACTGGGTTATTGGGAAATTATAATGAGCTGATTCTTGACTTAATTGTACATTTCTTAGGACACTGCAGAACTGTTCTTTGAAGATGTCCGGTTGCCAGCTAATGCACTACTTGGAGAAGAAAATAAAGGATTCTACTACCTCATGCAGGAGCTTCCACAGGTCGTAGATGTTTACATTCCATTTTTTGATTGGATGTTGAGCTAAAATAAAATGATAAAGAACCATAATAAGTCCATGCATGCAGAACTTGTCATATAAGCAATCATTTGAGTATAATGTTTTTTCTTGTTTTTTTATTTATTTTTTTTGTCTTTTTGAGACAGGGTCTCCCTGTAGCCCTAGCTGGCCTGGAACTCACTATGTAGACCAGGCTGGCCTCCCGAGTGCTGGGATTAAAGGCATGAACCACCACACAAAGAAGTATCAGTGTTATAGGGTAGATAAGGAAATAACGGAACCCAGGACTTTCCAAACAAAATTTAACAAAAGTAAGGAAAATAGGTGTTTTATTTCTGTGATTCCTCTTTGGAATGATTTCAGCTTCTCAACTGTAAGTTAAATTTTAAATATTTAAATTTTAACTATTTCATTTATTATTTTTATTTTATGTGTATGTGTGTATTGCCTGCATGTATGTGAGTGCACCCGTGTTGTGCAGTGCCACGGAGGTCAGAAGAGAGCTTTGGATTCCCCTGGAACTAGAGTTAAGGATGATTCGTAGCTGCCATGTGGGTGCTGGGAATCAAACCCGGGTCCTCTGCCAGAGGAGTCAGTGTTCTTAACCACTGAACCATCTCCCTAGCCCTCCTTTTAGCAGTTTTTAAAGAAATGTCATCAAAAAAAGGTTTTAAAGAACTGAATCAAAGGGGAGGGGTTAAGCTCAAAGAGAAAAGTTTCAGCCATATAGTCATGCCTATGGTTTGGAAATATAGTTGTCTAATCATTGGGCCTTACATGCCAGTATAACTGTTTCTACAGATATATTGTTATGTAATACCGAGAGAACAATAAGTAAAAATAATCATCTGTGAAAGTTAATTACATATATATATATATAATAAAGATAGCCACTAATGTAAATTAAGCATTTGTTTGAGAGCATTATTCTTAGATATGTTAAAAGAATCACAAATCTCTGAGAATCTTTTCTTATAAAAAGTTAAGAATTTAATCTTTAGTAATTTATTATAAAGATTATTTATAGGACTTACTAAAATGGTGTGAAAATCATTTATGTAATAATGTTTAACTTAATTTTGGGGTTACAGGAAAGACTGTTAATTGCTGATCTGGCAATTTCCGCCTGTGAGTTCATGTTTGAAGAAACCAGGAACTATGTTAAGCAAAGAAAAGCTTTCGGGAAAACTGTTGCACACTTACAGGTAAGCTTTTCCTTACAGTCCTGTGTTAGTTTATAAATAGTCATCTCATTTCAGTCTAGGTGAAACATTAATTAAGCATAATTTTGATATAAGATGGTATTAGAAAGGAGAAAATGGTTGAGATCCTTAGAGGAAAGAGAGTAGAAATGCAAAGATAAGAGAACTAGGATGGAGTCTTGAGGAAAATGGTAACAAAGACAAAAGAAAGGAGAAGCTGATTGGAGCGTTGTCAGCAAGCCAAGAGGAAAGACGACTCCAGGAGGAGGGAATGGCCTCAAACTCTGAACCCGCAAGTTCGTGTAGAAGCAGTGCAATCATTACATTTGTCAGAAAACTTAGACCTGGCATTAATTATTAAGTAGAATGGGTTTGACTGAAGGGCTTTGTGAAGGGACACAAAGGCATCTTAGTAGTATTATAGGACCAACACTATAGAGATTATTCAAGTGCGAGCTAAATCCTAGCACAGCTTCCGAGCTCATTATAATCTAGGCAAGTTGTGTTCTTGGAGAATACTTTCTTGTTTGTAAGATTTGTAAAGTTCATTTGACATGTGAAACTGTAAGATCATATAATTGTAAATTCTTGAAGTTTGTCAGACTTGGGTTTATTCATAAATGGAAATATTTTTTTTACATATGAATAATATTAGCAGCTCTCTCATAAGGTCACTATGAGGATTTGGTAGAATAGTTCACATGAAGTACCTGGAATGCTGCCTGGCAATTCTTGATGTTCTAGGCACTCAAAAATGCTGTGTACAGTGATATGCAACGTCACTTGTGTTTAACGTCTTAGACAGTGTTGTCAAAGGTCCAGTGATTTAGGGATAGCTTTGTACTGTAGCTAATTGTCAAAATACTGATAATCTCCTCCTGAAAACACTGACACACGTGTCATTTGTTTTTGTTTCACTGAGCACATATTTGTAATTTGATAACTATGAATCTAGAAAAACACACTAAGATTTCTAGGCAGACTGAAGGAAGTTATACCACTTGGTATCACGATGCAGCTTTCTCATCTGTGCTCAATGTGGAATCAGTACCGCTCACATCTCAAGTCCGAACACCACTAGTTTTACTTCAGAGATGTTTTTTAAAATGTTTATTATTATTATTATTATTATTATTCTGACCATCATAAAAATGAAGCCAACTAGATATTATTTTCTTTATTTTGTAAATGAACTTTTCCTATGTTTATGAGTTTCATATTAGATTATTTAAAAGATGACAATAATATTACCCAGATTGGAGGCAGAAAGGATGACTTAGCAGTTAAGAGCACTTGCTGCTCTTCCAGAGAACCTGAATTTGCTTCTCTGCACTCACTCATGTTGGGTGGCTCATAGCCACCTATAACTCCAGCTCCAGGGTTGCAGCCGACCTCCTAAAGCACTCGTATACACATCCACATCTACATACACAGACACAGAAATAATAAAATAAATCTTTTTAAAAAGTTACCAAGATTGCCTGAACAGTTCAGAAAACGTGATTTGACATTTAACCATAAAGGAAGTAGAAACTGGTCTATACTATTTTCCCATAAGAGAAAAGATTTCCTTTAACATGAAGTCGTGGGACTGGGGAGATGGCTTAGTGAATAAAGGTGCTTGCCACCAAAGCTGATGACCTGAGTTTGATCCCAAGAACCCATAGGTGGGAGGAGGCAAGAACCAACTCCTGGGAGTTATTTTCTGACTTGGAACACACGCACTGTGGCATGTGCCCCCCCCCCATATGCATACACAGTAAATAAATGTAATAAAAATAATTTAAAGTGCAGTCATGTGCTATGTAGCAATGTTTTGGTGAGTAAGCATATGTGACCTGGTGATGTAGCTATCATAAGGTTGCAGCTCAAGGTATGTTGGTGGAAATGTTGGTGTGAATAATCTTATCAGCCTTGTAAACTTACATAGCATATGTATTGTATGTTGTCAGGTATATAATACTTGATAATAAACATGTTATATATTATACTCTTTGTTGTCATTGCTTTAGGCTATATTCCTTCTTTCATTAAAGAAGTTTACATTAGCTGGGCATGGTGGCACACGCCTTTATTCCCAGCACTCGGGAGGCAGAGGCAGGCCGATCTCTGTGAGTTCAAGGCCAGCCTGGTCTACATAGTGAGTTCCAGGACAGCTGGGGCTATAGGGAGACCCTGTCTCAAAAAGACAAAAAAAAAAAAAGTTTACATTAAAGCAACATAATGCCAGCAATATCCTCAGACATTTTAGGTTCACCATGGCTCTTATTTGCTTATCAAGACAACCCTGTTTTGCATTTGACTTACACCATTTAGATTTGTGTGGAAACAGTGTGGTTCACACTATGATGAAATTGTTTAATTGGCCTCTTTCTCAGAATGTTTTCCAACTGTTAAGCAATACATGAACTATATTTAATTTATGCTATTTTTCCAAACAAGTATCGTTTTGTTATTTTCCTGCACAGGTAGTTCACTAAAGTTTCAGTAGATGGCAGTAGTAATCTTCTAGCATTCTCCAGTGTGTGTGTGGAGGGGGGCACGTGTATGTGCAAGTTTGCACATTTGTGCATGGATGTGTGGATGCTTTGGGTATCTTCCTCCATTGTGCTCCATCTTAGTTTTTCAGACTAAACCTGTCTCTTACTGATTGAGCTACACTGACTGGCCAGAAAGCCACGACAGTCTGTCTTTACATCTCGCTGTGCTGGACTTACCACCATACTTGGCTTTTATATAGATACTGGGAATCCAAGCTCAGGTCCTCATTACAAGGAGTTTGCCTACTGAACCATTTCCTCAGACCCTACAGTTTCATTTTTTTAATGCAGAGTAGTATTGTTTTCCTAGTATGTATTGACATTTTTGAGCTGTTCTTTAAATTTTTAAAAATCCAAATACGCATGTCTTTGAAGAGTATTTTGTTTTTTTGCTTGTTTGTTGACAGTTTTTTAAGACAGGGTCTTATTATGTAGCTCTGACTGGCCTGGAACTTGCTATGTAGACAAAGATGGTCTTGAATTTGCCTCCCTCTGTATCCTGAGTGCTGAGCTTAACAGCATGCACCATCATGCCTGGCTGAATGATATTTTCATATTTCAAGTGAGGAATATATGCAGAGAGGACAAATAGTATGTTTCTGTGCCTTTTATTTTGGAGCTGGTTACATTTGACTTCTAATTATTTAGCTGAAATAGAAGACCTATACATGTCACATTATACTTGACCAAATGCCACTTTATGAGCACATAACTGTTGATTTCTTTCTTTATAATTCTTGAATCTTGAACATTTTGGCTTTCAGACCATTTGGATACATGTCATAAAATTCCATTTTAGATTAGAGAGTTACCGTACTGAAGAAGCAGTTGTTACAGGATTTTTGTTTTTAAAAATCTGTGTATTCCATTGGTAGTACCACAGTTCATGGTTTACCCTGAAATAGATGATAAAACAATGTAATTTGAATGTTAATAATAATGACTGTCAGGACTGGAGAGATGGCTCAGCGGTTAAGAACACTGTTTGTTCTTGCAGAAGACCCCGGTTCGAATCCCAATACTCACATGGCAGCTAACAATTGTCTGTAACTCCAGTCCCAGGGGATCCAACAGCCTCTTCTGACCTCCCTGAGCATTGCATGGCATGGGTGCACTTACCTACATGCAGGCAATACACACATACACATAAAATAAAAATAATAAAATTTAAAAAATTAATGACATATTTATCTTCATTTTATAGACAGAGAAGTTGAGGCAGAGGTTAAGTAGCATGTCTAATTATACAGGTATTCTAAGTCCAGAACCTGCATTCTTTTTTTCTTTCTTTTGCTTTTGTTTTGTTTTTTGAGACAGGGTCTCCCTATAGTCCAGCAGACTTGGAACTCACTATATAGACCAGGCTAGCCTAGATCTCACAGAGATCTACTTGTTCCTACCCATTCCCTGCTCAGAACCCACATTCTTTAAAAAAAACAAAAAGCAAAAAAAAAAAAAACTTCATTTTTATTTTCATCTGATAAATGAGTGTTTCGCCTGCGTGTATGTAAATGCATCTATGCATACAATGCTGTGGAGGCCAGAAGAAAGTGTCAGGTCTCCTGGAACTGGAGTTATGAATGGTTGTTAGCTACCACATGGGTGCGGGGAACTGAACTCTGCAAGAGCGAGCAACAAGTGCTTTTAACCACTGAGCTCTCTCTCTCCAGCTCCTGTACTATTGATTTTTAAGGACACAAAGTATTTGGGAAAGAAATAGGAAAGAGGGAAAAATCTACTTTTTTCTTCCATTTATTCAAAAAGAGACTATCCAGTTCCTAAGACTTTGTGTAGGGCATGAACTATAAAATTTGGTAGCACGTTGAATTTTTTAATTTTATAGTTAAATATAATATATGATAATAACATATATTTTGTTTTAATGACTTTTGTTTAAATGACTGCTGGGCTTGGTAACCATTCCAAGGTATCTTCCAAGTTTTAAATTTCCAAGATACTTGTCATTCATAGCTTAAAAAAATTAAATTACATTTTAATTTGTTTGCTTTGTGTGTGTGTGTGCGTGTGTGTGTGTGTGTGTAGATAGGTAGATAGATAGATAGATAGATAGATAGATAGATAGATAGATAGGTAGATACTGACATGGAATGTGTGTGGTCAGAGAGAGGTCAGCTCCATTCTCTCTCTCCAACATGTGGACCTCTGGGATGGAACTCAGGTCATCAGACTTGGCAGCAAGTACCTTTACCTGCTGAGCCATCCACCTGGCCCTTGTTCAGATCTTTGAAAGAGGCTCTATTAATTCAGTTCACTTTGTAAGTTACAAAGTGATTTCTGTTTTTCTTTTTCTTTTTTTAATGACACTCATTAAACTGACCTTGAACTCCAGTTCCCCTGCTTCTGCTTGTCAAGAGCTGAGATTACAGATATGTGCCACTGTGCATGTCCAAGATTATTTGTTCTTAAATGGCAGGTCCATTTTTTTTTTTTTTACTACTATCGAATATTGTAACTTTTTTAATCCTAACACTCAGGAAGCAGAGGCAGGGGGATTTCTGTGAGATTGAGACCACCCTGGTCTCCATAGTGAGTTATAGGCCAGCTGGGGGCTACAGGGAGACCCTATCTAAAAAATATTGCTATGAACATGTTGATCCTTCAGGAAAAGCATTGTGCCAGTAAGGGGAGATAGAATTATTAGCAGCTTGGTCATTAGAGAGCACTTTCAAGAAGCTGTGTCTGTGACAAAGCACAAAGGCCTCCTCTGTTTAGTAGCTCCTAGTTCGGTGCCAAGAATATGTAAATATTTAATCTCTTTATCTTCAGACAGTAAATGACAACCTCTTGGCAGCGTTGTTTTTTTTTCAGACCTCTGAACCTAGTAGATGTGCTGAGACAGGAATTCTAATCCTCCATCCTTGTCTGAATTTTAACTTCAGCTTCTAGAAGCTCCAAGTAGTCTCATAGAACAGCTTTGATGTGAGATAGTGCCAAGATCTTCACATGTTGGTATAATAGAAGGCAGACTTTCTTGAGAATTGTCAGATTTCCCCCAGCCCCTCTTTATTTCCCCAAATGAAATGTTATATAGTTTCAGTGAATTAAGCCGGGGGTGGACTTAGAACTCAGTTTCAGGTAATATTTCCTCTTCTGTTTCAAATATCTATAGGCAATTATTTGATCACTCTGGATTTTTCTCTTAATAAACTTGAATGTGTGAGGTAGAGTGGGGATTTTATGTGGATTAAAGGATAGAGATTAGACCAAGCTAAATATATAATTAGTAGATAGGGATATAGGAAAAGTTAGAACATGCAGCATGTTCAGAATCAGAGGCAGGACACCCAGGTCTTCCCACTGCTGTTTTGGAATTATTAGGTGCTGGTTATACTGTTTCTAGAACAGTGTGGGGAAAAAGACACTTGGACTTTTGATCAGCATGAAAGTAGGTATACCATGAAGGATCTGTTCTCCAAAGCCTATTTCAGGTTGTGCCCTGCCCTGGATCATTATTATGGTCCCATTCTTTGATTTTCCAGAAATGAAAAAGTACCAGAACTGCCTACCACCAGTCACACTGAAAGATTCAGTTTCGTGTTTTGAGAATCACCATAGCCAGCAGTATAAAAATAGGTTCAAGGGGCTGGAAAGATGGCTCAGCAGTTAAGAACACTGACTATTCTTGTAGAAAACCTGGGTTTGAATCCCAGAACCCACATGGCAGCTAACAACTGTCCGTAACTCCAGCTTCAGGGGATCCAACAGCCTCTTCTGTCCTCCATGGGCATTGCACGACACGGGTGCACTTACCTACATGTAGGTAATATAGGCATACACATAAAATAAAATAATAAGTAAAAAAAAAATAGGTTCAACATCCTCCAGGAAACTAGCCCCACAACCTCTTTTGAGAACTCACACCTGCCTTTGGACTTAGTGGAAGAGTATAGATTAATACCTAATTTAAGTTTCAGGGCACCACTTTCATCACTACCTGCCATGTGTGCTCCTTCTGTTAGCCACAGTGAATGTCTCATGAATTCCATAGCAGAATGACCAAAATTGTTTCTATCCTAATTTCCACAGGGAAGAGGGTGCCAGTTGGCTATAAATGGGCCTCAGACTTCAGAAGTCAGAATAGGGTGTACTTTTGGAGGCTACCCAAAGTCAAGCCAGTTTCCTGAAGGAGATTCAAGAGCTGGTGCCAGGGAGAACAGATGTAAACTCAGAGTTCAGGGTGTGAGAGCCAGGAGTCAGTGAAATAGAACTGGATTGAAGGCAGACCGAGCAGGAACAATTGAGAATGGTCTAAACAGAATGATTTCCAAGCTCACAGTTGTTGGGTGTCCTTGGTCAGCAGGAGGAGGCAGATAACCCTGACAGTTCAGTGTAGTTGGAGACTAGGTGAAACATTATTCAGAGGTTGTAGGGTGCTTTTGATCTCTGCTTGCTCTGATTCTGTTTTTAATATTATAAGTGATTATTAACATAATATTTTGATGATGTATATATGATTATATTAATCTCTCTCGTCCATCTAGCTTGTTACTTTATTATTTTACCTGAAAGCAAAGAGGCACAATAGAGAAGTGCATAGTCTTAATTTTATTAATACAGAATAGATGTTTAAGGATTTACTACTCTCTGGAGAAATGGGTGTTTTTAGCAGCTGTATGCAAAGGATTGTACCACAAGATGGTGCTCACACATTAAGGGTCATGATTTTTCTTAAAGTAGTTTCCTTTAAATTACGATATGTATTTATCTTTATGTATTTACATGTTTTTACATATTTCATATGACTTTTAAACATTAAAATATGCTGTTTTTTTTTCATTTAAGTTACTTAACATATGCCCTTTATTGGAGGAAAACCCCCACAATTCCACTTGTGTTTTGATTTAAAAATTTGTTATTATGTAAGTGTTTGAGATGCTGAGTCAAAACCTGTTCTTTTAACATGCTCCTTTTCCCTTTCAACACAAGACGGTGCAGCATAAACTAGCAGAATTAAAAACACACATTTGTGTAACCAGAGCTTTTGTGGACAGCTGTCTGCAACTGCATGAAGCAAAGCGTCTGGACTCAGCCTCCGCTTCCATGGCAAAATATTGGTATGCACATTACTGTAATTAAAATGTGGTTTGTTCAGATTCCTGTGGAATCCAGCCAGCTCTCTACACAGTGTTGAGCACGTTAAAGGAGGAAGTCTCTGTAAATGAAAAATGGCAGTAAGAATCAACTTAGAAAAAAAAAGCTGCTGAAAGCCCTATTAGGTCTATTTAAAAAATTTTAAATTATGTGTATGAGTGTTTTGCCTGCATGTATGTATGTAAGTGCACTCATGCTTGCACTGCTCATGGAGGCCAGAAGAGGGCGTCAGATCCGCTGGAACCAGAATTATAGATGGTTGTTAGACACCATGTGGGTGCTGGGAACCAAACTCAGGTCCTCAGCAAGAGCAGCCAGTGCTCTTAACCACTGAGCCATCTCTCTAGCCCCCTATTAGGTCTATTTATAATGTGTTAAAAATTATTCAAGTTGGGATTTAGTTTATATCTTGTTATTGGAAGGAAAATGTTAAGAGACTGAAGTAGGATGACTGCGTATCTCATTTAAGTAATAGTTTAGTTTCAGATTATCAGAAGAGTGACAGAACAAGACTGGAAGAACAGAATGGTGGAACTCCGGAAATGGAGTCCCAGTTCTGTAACAGAACTCCAACTAAACCTAATTCCCTCAGGGACAACTTTTGTTATCTGTGAAATGTTTAAATTGAATAGAATTTCTGGTGTTTTACAGATCTAAGAAAAATACTGAGTTATTGACTGTCTAGGTCATACATGGCAACTGTTCTATTTAGTGAATGGAGGAAAAGTTCTATTAAGTTTAGAAAGACTTTCATTTGAATTAAAGATGATTAACAGTAGTGTGAAAGATCAGCTTAAGGGGCTGGAGAGATGGCTCAGCGGTGAAGAGCACTGACTGCTCTTGCAGAGGACCCAGGTTCAATTCCCAGCACCCACATGGCAGCTACAAACCGTCCTTAGCTCCAGTTCCAGGGGAATCTGATACCTTCTTCTGACCTCCACAGCATTGCACAACATGGGTGGACTCACATACATGTAGGCAGTACACTCATACACATAAAAATAATAAATAAAAAAATATTTTTTTAAAAAAGCCCCTATAAGAGTTTTATAGGGGCTATAAGTGTTTTAAGATGCAAAAACATGTGGTCTAAATCAGATTGTGGAGCAGTGATTGGCCTCCTTTAAAAAAAAAAAAATTCTCACATAACATCCGAAAAGTAGCCTGAAAAAAAATTCCTGTAATTATTTATTAACTTGAGTTCTGTTTGTCATTACTAGACAAGAGGAACTATGCAGAATGGTTCTCTGTGTAATGGTTTCTATAATAATAAATTATCAGATTCAAAGGGAATGTGAAGTTACTAGGCACTTACACTTTGAGGGGAAACATTTTATACTTAGAGCAAGTTCTTTGGCTTAAGGAAAAAGGTACAGAAAAGAATAATAGATAATTTTAGGACTAAATCTTTTTTGTTTTTGAGACAGGGTCTCCCTGTAGCCCCAGCTGCCCTGGCACTTGCTATATAGAGCAGGCTGGATTCATTCTCACAGAGATCCACCTGCCTCTGCCTCCGGAGTGCTGAGACTAAAGGTATGCGCCACCACGTCCACCTTTGGGTTAGATTTTGTATAGCTACTGTCTTTGTGCTTTGGAAATATGAGGCTTATGTATACAATGATGCTGAACACTGGGCAGCAAGTGCTGTAACTAGTAAATCTTCCACTGAAATACTTGTCAAATACAAAAATTATTGAATTCCAATTATTGCATCAGAGAATTGTCTGTTAGTTTTTATGTTGGGAGTGAGTGTGTTTTTTAGGCATAGCCTCCCTGTTTTGTGTTTAGTTAAAAAAAACTTTTGTTTTTATTGTTTTTAGACAGGGTCTCATGTAGCCCAATCTGGCCTCAGACTCCCTTTGTAGCCAAAAATGAACTTGAATTCCTGATCCTAATACCTTCCTCTCCTAAGTTCTGGTATTATGTAGCGTTTAAGAATTATTGAAAATGTGTTTTTTCCTGCTTTTGCTTATGTTGCCCACTATTGGAAAAGAATCTTGAACTATCTCATTTTATATTCAGGTGCATAATATCTCTAAATCTCTATAATTTTATGGATTTAAAAGTTAGTTAAAATTATCACCGAGGAATGGGAATCCTTTTTTCTTTCTTTCCCCTGTAGCCCCAGCTGGCCTGGAACTCACTATGTAGACCAGGCTGGCCTGGAAATCACAGAGATCCGCCTGCCTCTGCTTCCGGAGTGCTGGGATTAAAGGCATGCACCACCATGTCTGGCCGGGAATCCTTTTATTTAAGGCAAGGTCTCATGTAGCCAAGGTGGCCTCCCACTCAGCATGTACCAGAGGTTGGCCTTGGACTTCTGATCCTCCTGTCTGCAGGCATGGCCATCACCCCATGTTTATGTGGTGCTGGGGTTTGTACCTAGAAATTTGAGCCTGCTGGGCACGTACACTACCAACTGAACTACATCCCCAACCCACCAAAATAGTGAAATCTTAATAGCAATTTCCATATATTATTGCCAACCTTAATAAAAACCTAGTCAGAAATAAAGATGAGGAAGGTATTCTTTATGTGAAAATTCTTTTAAAGTTTATTTCCTATGTATTTTGTGTCATCTTCCCTAGCTGTTAGATAGGCTTCTTTGAATGGCTTGATAAATAAATTATTTATTGATTATAAAGTACCTCATGAATTTCCATTTCAACTTTTCCTTTTCTGCTTGTTATTTTGGTCATCTTAGGGCATCTGAATTACAGAACAGTGTAGCTTATGAATGTGTACAGCTCCATGGAGGCTGGGGATACATGTGGGAGTACCCGATTGCAAAGTAAGTATGGCTGCTCTATGATGCTTTTCTTATTGGAAAAGAGAAGAAAATTTCTTTACTGTACTTTGTATAACAAATAGAGAGGGAAAGAAAGTAGTAAGTCTTCATTTTTCAACTGATTATGGAATATATTCATGCAAGTATGAATATACTTTACTGGTTTACCATTAGGATTTTATTTTTAAAGAAAGGGATGAGTCTATTTTTATTTATTTGCTTATTTTTAATATTTATTTACTTATTTTTGTGTGTGTGTTTTTTAAAACTTTTTATTGCATTTTTGTGTATTTTTTACAGAATATCTTAATCTTTATACCCCTTCTCCATTGGCAGCCTCCCATAGCCCCGCACCCCCCACGGGAGTTCATGCATTCTGTCGTTTATGTTAAGGCTTATCATGTCAGATTAGTGTTCCTAGACATCCCTCAGTGCAAGTACCTCCACTGAGGTCTAGTCAGCCTATCTAGAGTTCTTCCCTTTAAGAAGATCAGCTCAGCAGTCTGCATCCTGATTCCCTATTGGCAATTTGGGTAACCTCTTCAAGGGATGGTGTGTTAAGAATAGGAGGTAGAAACTGGCTAGGCAGTTAGGGTAAAAAGACCCCAAAGAAAAGTAGCCAGTTTCTTGGCTAAAAATCAAAATGTCCTTGGACCTCTTAGCAGCATACTCTGTTCCAAAGGCCAAAAATGTCAAAAGTATTTGGGATCTTTTATCTAATTCCTAAAAGATTTTAGGGTTACCTCTTCAGAGGTAACAAACCCCATAAAAAGAAAGAGTACATGAAGTTTTTCAGGAAAAAGTGATGGGGAGATATGGGAGGAGTTGGTTGGGGGAGAGTGGGCATGGATTTGATCAAAACACCTCATACGCATGTGTGATTTTGCCTGCATGTATATAAGTGCACCCAAGTTGTGCCATGCCCACAGAGACCAGAAGATGGCATTAAGTCTCCTGGAACTGGAGTTATGGACACTTGTTAGCCACCATGTGGGTGCTGGGTACCGAAGCTGGGTCCTCTGCAAGAGCAGCCAGTGCTCTTTACTGAGCCATATCTCAAGCCCCTCCAGTATACTTTAACACTTGATACTTAGCTTTAAAAGATACATCACTTTTTAATTTATCTTTTAGTTTATTTTTTGTAGTTGTATTAGTTACTGTTCTCATTGGTATGATAAAATACCCTGACAAAAGCAACAGAAGGAAGAGGGTTTTTTTTTTTTGCTCACAGTTTGAAGGCACAGTCCACTGTGGCAGGGGAAGTCCCAGGGCAGGAGTTGAGACAGCTAGTCCAGTTATATCTTGAGTCCAGAACATAAGCCCAGGGAATGGTTCAGAATCCCTCATCGCTATGCCCAGAGTCATGTGACCTAGTTGTTTTCAGACCCTGTCAAATTGATAATAAGTATTAACTCTCAGAAGTGGTCACAGGGATTGAACCTAGGGCCTTGCACATATTGAGCAAGCAATCTACCATTGTCCACCATTCCAAGCTGCTTTGAAAAGAACAAACAAAACCAAACAAAACAAGATAGCAATACAGAAAGACTAGCTTGCATAATAAACAGCATCAATCAGGATTTTTTTTTCTCTTTAAGACTGTAAGCATGGGTGGTTAAGAGCACTGTCTGCTCTTACAGAGGACCCAGCTTTGGTTCCCAGCATCCACATGGCAGCTAATATCCATCCATAACTTCAGTTCCAGGGTATCCAACATCCTCTTCTGGCCTCAGCAGGCATTGCATGCATGGATATGCTTTCATTCATTCAGGCAAAACATTCATATACATAAAATTAAAATAAAGAAAATGAATATAACCGTGGGGCAGGTGTGATGGCACACTCCTTTAGTCCTAGCACTCCAGAGGCAGTGGCAGGTGGATCTCTGTGAGTTCTCCTGGTCTACATAGTGATTTCCAGACTGGCCAGGGTACATAGTGAGACCCTGTCTCAAAAAGAAGAAAAATAAAAAAAGAATAAAAGTGTGAAGCCTTTTTCTTTTTTCTCAAATAAGTCCTTTGACTGAGATTTTGGTACACCCTTTCAGCATAGGCTTTCACCGAAAGGAGGTTTTTCTTTTGAAAACTTATCAGAATTTTTCCCATGTTTTTGTTTTGCCAGTCTTCATCATCTTATTTATAATATTCAAAGTGTTTTAAAAGTAAAATAATAATGGAAGTTTATAGCCTTGTGCTTGAGCTCTGTTGTCACAACCGCTACTGGGAAAGCAGGCATATATTGACTCAACATCAATGTAGTGTAGATTCCAAGAAGCACATGAGAAGGGAAGAGAAGTCAGCTGCCTTGGTAGCTTAAGGTTAGAGCACAGCATAGGCCAGGGTCTCTTGTTTCTTGAAGTCTATTCCTTTCTGTCAGTAGCAAGAAAACCTGTAGCTTGATAACTTATTTAAAATGTTTTCAGTTTGAGACACTTGTACTCAAAATAATCACCATTCTTGGCTCCCTTGCCAGTTCAAAGATTATGTGACTCTTTATCTAGACTACTCTTTCCCCTAAGATGTAGGACTTCCTAATATTACCTGATATCACATTAGACAGTATGTGGGGATAGTATACAGACTTTGATTTAAAGGAAATCATTCTACTTGTGATTCTTATAGATTAAGCTACATTATTTGTGTGTGTGTGTGTGTGTGTGTGTGTGTGTGTGTGTTGATTGAGAACTCTACACAGAGAAGACAGACACAGAAACACACATGCACACACAGACAGACAAACAGTGGGTGAATTTGTTATTTTGGCCTCAGGTAAAAGAGATATTTTGTTTCCATTCAAAATTGTAAAAATTTTTAGATAATCTTCAGCATGTGGGTTTTTTTTAAGTTTTGTTAAGCTTAGGGTTGGACATCTGAGATGTTCTCTGCCACCCTAGGAGGAACAGCCCAAAATGGAGAGTTTTGTGCAGTGCAGTTAAACATTTCTTCTGCTGCCTTTCTCTGGTTAATTTTAGTTACCTAAATTTAATTAGTAACTTATGAAAAGTCTACTGATCTCTGTCATTACGTACTCTGGTAGAACTTCTTTAATATGAACAATAAATGTCCAACCCAGGCCAGAAACATCTAAAAGCATTGGGATTGCTGAAGTAAGCTGGAATGTAAGAAAAATCTTCAAGATTCAAGTGCTTAGTTTTGTAGAGAAAAATAAAATCTTCCAGGGGATGGATGGATTATGAAAACAGAAATGTATATACATTTTAAAATTTATATCAGAGGGGCTGGAGTGATGGCTCAAGGGTTAAGAGCACTGGCTGCTCTTGCAGAGGACCTGGGTTCAATTCCCAGTACCTACATGGCAGCTAACAACTGTCAGTAACTCCACTTCCAGGGGAATCTGATGCTCTCTTCTGATATCTGTGGCCATTGATGACATGGATGCACTTACATACATTCAGATAATACACTCATAAAATGGGCAACAGGCCCCAATTTTAGTTGAAGAACTGTTGGCAGCTAATTACTGCAGCGTGAGTAAGAACTGATCTTCTTAGAAGGAGGGACTCTAGATAGGCTGATTCAACCTCAGTGAATGAACTTGCACTGAGGGATGTCTGGGGACACTAACTTAACTCAGTAAGCCTTAACACAAACCCTGACAGAATGCATGAATTCCAGTGGGTGGGACTATGGGAGATTGCCAGTGGGGAAGGGAGTATAAAGATGATTAGGATATTATGTATGAAATTTTAAAAAATCAAGTAAAAATTAAAATTTTAAAAAGACAAAAATAGTTTTTAAAATTCTATCAGAAAGTACTGAGATTTTTAATTTCCTTTATAATGCAGTAAATTACATCAGTAAATAGTAACTGAGGGCCCATTTGTCTGTGAGGTATCCTAACAAATACAAAATAGTGTAAGTTCAGAGTTGGTCATGTTCCTTTGAGTTTTAGAAATTAAGTAATTTATTAAAACCCAAATTTTATATTTGAGAAAGACATGCCTTTAAATTTGCCTACTGCACAAAGTTCAAAACATAAAAACTAGCTCCACATGACTGCGCCAATTCAGTGTAGTGATGTAATAAGGTACACTTGCCAAGTCACCTACATTCTTGTTCCAGTCTGACAATCATCTGTTATGTGACCAGTACATGGTAATCATTAATCAGTAAATGTATTAACTTCTCTGATTCTTTTTACTTGTAAAACAATAATATTTATCCCTAGTGATTCCACAGCTAAGAGGTTAAATTGAAAAGAAAAAAGAGAAAAACAACTAAATAGTTGCTAATGTAGCTGTTGAGTGAATTCCTAGGGCTAAGACAGGGCTCAGTGGTAGCGCTCTTGCCTGGTGGGGCACTGATTCAGTTCTAGCATCGGAACAACAAAAAAGTGAATTCCTGATTGTGTGTGTATATCTGTGTGTGCTTAACCCCATATGTTATTGTTAATCATTTCCCCCAGCATAAGCTACTTGTTAACTTTGTGAGAAAAATATTTTCTAAAAAATCAGGTGGTGGTTGTGGTAATGAGATTTAAAGGAACGCCAGGAAAAAAGTAATTTCTCGGGGCTGGAGAGATGGTTCAGTGGTTAAGAGCACTGACTGCTCTTGCAGAGGACCCGGGTTTGATTCCCAGCTCCCACATGGCAGCTACGTTCCGTCCTTAACTCCAGTTCCAGGGGAATCCGAAGCCCTCTTCTGACTTCTGGCATTGTACGACACTGGTACACTCACATACATGCAGGCAATACACTCATACACATAAAATAAAAATAATAAAAAAAAGTAATTTCTCTTTTTTTTGCCTTAAGAATCAGTGGATCTCAAATTTCTGGGGTAAACTAAAAAGATAATAAGAAACTAAGATACTCCATGCATTTCTAAATTTAAAGCAGACTTTTCAGATTTCTGTTATATGTGCTCAATTTTATAAAATTATGTCAGATAAAATGTACCTAAATGTTGTTTTGATTTGATAATGTCGTTAAGCAAACTAAAAGCTATATAGATTATCAATATCTTAATGGGCTTTTGGTATACCATCCTAGGATGACTCAGTACTGTACTATAGAATGTTATTTATGAAGAACTTTTACTGCTTATGTTTTATGAAGTAAATACTTTAATAATTATCTGGAGAGATAGAATTTAAACTTTCTACTGTCTCATTTATCTAAATTCAATTAACCCTCATTTATCTAGAGCTTATGTGGATGCTCGAGTTCAGCCAATCTATGGTGGTACCAATGAAATAATGAGAGACTTGATTGCAAGACAGATCGTCAGTGACAAATAGACATCTGCCCACATCCTGGAATCCTATTACAGCTAATCTGGATTTGAATCTGCTCAAGAGAAAACATAACCTGGAAAGAGGGGGAAACAGTAAAGGTGTTTCCATGTGTGTTGTCTGTAGAGAAAGAAACCAAATAGAAATTTAAACTTAACACAGGGGAAGGAAAAATCTTTGAACCCAAAGAGTCTAAAGTGACACCTTGAGATGTGTGCCTTTTTTAAAAAAAATATAGTAAATGTCAAAGATTTTCTGACTCCAGAAGCCTTAATGTCTCATTTGTCTCTCAAATTCTAAAAATGTCTTTGATTCTTAAAATTGAGACAGAAATAATTTTATGTTCTTCTACTGTAATAACAGTAATAAAATACAATTCATGGAATTTGAAATGAAAAAATAAGTATAATTTACGGAAAGTCATTTCAGCTACTTTTGGTTCCACATTCCCTAGAATATTTGTTTCTACAGTGCTACCACCAACCCCATGTTTTTAAAGCAATGAATGGAACTCTTTCTTCAAACAAAATGACTGTACCAAATATATATGAGGATATATATATATATACATAAATATATATATATATGCAATTATATATCAGAAATAAAGTAAAACTTAAAAAAAAAAAAGCTTGCGTAGAATATCTGCAAGACTGATGATTGAAGAGATGCTCTGGTTGGAAGAAAGGCATAGTTTCTTAGCTGATGGCGTCTGGGCTTTCAATGAAATTCCATTCCGTTTCAATTTAAATAGGACAATGCAGTAATCTGTCAACCTTCAATTCAAGATATTTGGTAGTTATCGAAACAGAAGCTCTTATTTTGCAACAGTGCAGTTTATGTATGTGTAACAAATACTGTGTATCTTTTATAAACCAGACTGTTGAAAATATAACAGCAAGCAAGTTTTGCAAGAGTCCTTCTAAAAAACTAGTAGTAAGTAGAGTTGGAAATAAAAGAAAGAAACATTTAAATAAGAAGGTAAGGAAATCATATTTGAGACTCAAGTCAATATTATGAAAAATAAAATCATTAAACTGCCAATATATCAGTAAATTTTTTGGTACATAGTAATGATAGTGAAAATACTAGTTTTAAAATGAAAATCAATACATATGTGTTCAACTTTAAAAATCATAACATTTCTTTATCACTACAACTGGATTTGGCAGATAGGAGGTGGAATATTGTGACACATCCTTTCCTCAGTGGACAGCTTCGATTTGCTCTAGAACAGAAGTTTGTATGGTTGCCAATTTAGGTTCTTTTATATACATTGATTAGTACATTCTTTTTTTTTAAGATTTAGTTTATTTTTAATTATGGGGAGGGGGTACCCATGAGTGCAGTATTGGATTCCCCTAGAGCGGGATATGGGCACTGGGAACCAAGCTTGCTTTTCTGCAAGACCAGCAAGTGAACCCCCTGAGCCAGCCATCTCTTTAGTCCCTAAAATATCTTATCATGTATTTGAACGTTTGCAGCTTGCACCTCCCTCCTGCCAACAGGAACCTCAAAGGATTTGATAGAAATCATCCCCCTCCCCACCCCCCCCCCCCCGTCTCTTTCCTTTACCATCAAAATCTTAGGGGAAACTCCATTTTAGGAATAAATCATCCTTTGAAGACTAAAAAGTTAATTAAGAGCAGGAATATTCTGCAGAGTGGAGGTGAACAGACCTGGGTTTGAATGATGAGACTTTCAGAATTTCTAACCTTATTTCAAAAGGAACTCAGGGTGTGTTTTTCAACCTTGCCTTAGGTGTTCATTCTTAAACAGCTAATCTTTGCTTGAATTATTGTCCCCTAAGGAGGGTATTTATCATCCCTATCTCATGCAGTGCTGAGTGCTCAAGAAACAATAAATAATAACAATGCTCAGAAGAACAAGCCGGACAGGCAGCAAGAAAGCAACACTGTGTGAATATTAATGAGAATTTAAAGGCTTGGTAATTTCATTTGGGGGCTGAGATTCTTAGGATCAAAATTACTGCTTTAACTATTTTTGTCGTGTATTTTTTCGAAGGTGTCATTGAAAATTGTTTTAATTTGCTATTTTAAAATCGCACTGCAAATGTTTACTAAGCTAGTAATCTTAGTAGTTTGTGGCTCGGAGCATAAGACTACCAGGAGACTTCTCATGGAGTATTCATTTTGGCACATACAGAGTTTGTTTACTTGTCACTGGAAAGATTTGAAATTGAGACAGAAGCTAACTGCAGGCCCGTGTCTACTGCTTTATAGTAAAGTTGAAAAGTTCTACTCGTTTTAAAATTTTTATTTTCAAGAAAAAGATTATGGAGAGCTTCAAATATACTAAAAATAGAGTGGCGTGTCACTAACCTCCAGCTTAACATTTGCCAGTTATTCTGTGAGAATTCTTTTTCTCAAGTCATTTGAGGCGAGTTCCAGATTTCATGCTATTTCACACACATACATATTCCAGAGTACATATGTAATTGATGAAAGGGTTCTGGTGTGCTGCTGCTGCTGCTGCTGCTCCTTTTTTAATTTGATCTAGCCAGAAGGTCATTACCATACTCCAGAAATTTCAGTTTAATGTGTGATGCCATGTTCATATACATTTTCCACAATTGTATAAAAAAAATGCCGCCTTTGGTTTAGTTTAAGTTAGAATCTAAGCAAGACCTACAAATTCCATTTGGGTGCTGGAGATTGTATATTGCTCTTCTACAGAACCCAAGTTCAGTTCCCATTACCCAACATTGGCTGGCTCACAACAGCCAGCTTCAGGAGATCCAACATCCTCCTCTGGCTTGTGCCAACGTTAGAAGCATGCGTATGTGCGCGCACACACACACACACACACACACAAGTTAAAAAAGCTTTATAAAAATTCCATTTGGCTGTGTTGTCTCTTCTCTTTCTTATATGAGAGATGAGGGGCCTTCTTCTGCTTCCCTTCCCTTATCGCTTTAAATTAAAAATACATATTATTCTTTGGTACATATTGCAGAATTGCAGTTTGTGCTCCCAGAAATTTAGCATCTGTAGATTCTTGATTTTAGTGTGTGAAGACTCGTGCAGCTCTAACCACAACCAGGATACAGAACGATTCCATTTCTTCACAAGTCTCTCATGCTCTTCATATGTCAACTTCCCACATGTTTAGCCCCTGAAACCCACTGCTCTGATCTTTGTCATTATAGTTCTGTCATTTTGAGACAGTGGTATTTCCTCATGGATATACCACAGCTTATTGTGTTCACCTGTTTAAGCACTTGACATCTTGGTTCAGGTTAAAGTTAAATGTAGCATCTTCCTAAGGATAAATTTCCTTTCCAGGAGGGAAATTGTTGGGTTACATGTATATTTAGAGTTAGGAAAACACTGCCAAACTGTTTTTCCAGAGAACCTGTACTGTTTTACCTTCCAACCATCGCATAAGAGTTTCATTTGCTCTGAATAATCTCCAGCACTTGTAAGATTTTTTTCATCCATTCTAAAAGGCACATACTTTAGTCTCCTGGTTTGCATTCCCCTGATTCTTAAGGAGACAGCTTTTCTTAATGCTTATCTTCCACCTATTTCCCTTGGTGAGTTGTCCTAAGTTTTTTGTTTTTTAGTTGGTTTGCTTGTTTTCTTAATGTCGAATTTGGAGGGTTTCTTTATATAATCTAGGTTTTGTGAGGCACAAAGCTAAAAAGGTGTGTGTGTGGGCAGCAGGCATTTTCGGATTCAGATTGTTAGTATAGAGTTGCAAAAGAAAAAAAGTTGCAAAAGAAGAGTAGCTAAAAGTATCAGCTTTCAAATGCCCTTGATGCAGAGTGACCCTGAAACAATAGGGTTAGGTGACCTTGTTGCTAAGGCCCATTCAGTGCTGCTAAGCACTTTATAGTGTAGGTGTGCCTTCAAGATGAGGTAGGAAGTCTTGTACCTCCTAAGATCTAGTGAGACAATGAGAAACTGTCTATGATAGCCTCTGTGGACCAGAGGGAAGCTGGGGAGAACTGGCCTTGAGGCAGCACCTCACAAGCTTCCCTTGTGCTGTTCCAGGGGGATCTAAGCATTCTGATGATCAGCTGCCGCTCAGGCCTTGCCCATATGACCTGTGTTGAAACAAGGAAGGTTACTGAGCTCTGGCTCAAGCTGTTCCCCTATAGATGTTAGTCCCTTGTCATATATGATTTGTAAACATTTTATTCCTGTCTGTAGCTAGTCTTTGCAATTTTGGGGGAGAGGGGAGGGTCTCTTTTGAGACAGGGTCTCCCTGTAGCCTCAGCAGGCCTAGAACTTGCCATGTAGACCAGACTGACCTTGAACTCACAGAGATTTGCCTGCCTCTGCCTCCTGAGTGCTGGGATTAACAGTTGATTTCACACAGCAAAAGTTTTTAAGTTTTGAATTCTGATTTATCATTTTTTTTCTTTCATAGATTATACATTTGGTATCAAGTCTAAGAATTCTTTACCCAAAACCCAGGTCTTAATTTTTTCTATATTGTTAGAATTTTGTATTTTGTATTATTCATTTAGACTTATGTTCATTTAGTAATTTTATATAAGGTGTGAGGCTTCATCTTTAGATCGTTTTTCTAGCTGATATATGTCCAAGTGTTCCAGTGTTAATTGTTGGAAAGAGTACCCTTCTCCATTGGACTGGTTTTTCAGCTTTGCTTGCTAGAAGTCAAGTGGCCATGTTTATCTGGGTCTGTTTCTGGTTGCTGTTCTGTCTGTTTTACTTTTTTGCTGTCCTGATTTTTGGCAGTTTTTACAAAATCTTAAAATCAGATGGAATTTCTCTAGTATTGTTTTTTCAAGATTGCTTTGGCCTACTCGAATTCTTGTTATATCCCATACAAAATTTTGAATTAATCTATCTCTACAAAAATATCCTGCTTGGGGCTGGAGAAATGGTTCAGCACCCAAGAACACTGGCTGCTCTCTTGCAGAGGACCTGAGTTCAGTTCCCAGCACCCACATGGCAGCTAGCAACCATCTGTAACTCTAGTTCCAGGGGATCTGATGCCCTCTTCTGACCTCTGGGCACTGCATGACATGGGTCCACTTACACACATGTAGGCAATACACTTATACACATAAAATAAAAATAATAAAGTATTTAAAAAAAATCCTGCTAAAGTTTTGTTTGGGATGAGGAAGGACTACAGATCAATTTGAAGGGTAGTACCGTTTTTGCTGTGTTGAGTCTTCCAAGTTATGAATAAAGAGTATATTTACTTAGACCTCTGTTTGGCTATTTTTAGATTTCATCACTAAGATATCTTGTATATGCTTTGT